TTTTTATCTCATAAAGAAGTCTAAAAGTTGATATATGAAGAAAAGATCAATCTATCAGATTTATGCAAAACTCAGAGACCGTGTATTCGAATCACTTATAAAATCAAACTTACAAGGTTTTTTTTCGAATATTTTCAATAACAATTTGTATCAACTAATGATAATCGAATGTTACTTACTTCTCAATCAACGAATTAAATCAACTACCTGAAATATCATCCGAGTGACTATATAAGAGAACAATTGAAAACAATAGGTTACTCTCTACCTATGCAAAAATATTAATATCTTATTCATGGCAACAAAATTATTAATTTTTGATAAAATCAACGCATCGTTTTTACCAGGTTGATAAAGGCCGAGTCGGATCAAATTAGCATCTTCCTCATGCATCATCAAGAATTTATTACCAGTAACTATTTCTTTACGTAATACCCCCACCCATACCCTTAGCTAAATATTTCAATAAATTAGAATCAGCTGAAGAAATTTTACTTGATGAAACAGAATTATTAACAACAACAAACAAGCAAGTCACCACAACTAATACCAATAAAATTTCAAAAACTATATTCAATAATGGTACTTCAGCTGGCATTCTCGGTAATTTCAAAAAGTGTACACGTGCCATGCACTTACATGAGGCTGATGTTACGCTCAAAATGTAAGGTGTAATATTACCTTCACCATCGGACAATCCTGATGACACTTTATGAAAAACCTGGTTATTTCGTAAGAATTTTGAAAAAAGAAAAAGTCGATGTTTCATGTTCAAAAATAAATATCTTTGTAAAATGCACGCAATGCAAAAATCGAGTGCAATCTCTTTTGTATTTTTTTTGCACATGGTTTGATAGAGAGTGAGTTGCTGATCACGATCACTGATTCGTTGAGGACAGCGAACCGTTGTCGTAATAAAACTTCTAAAATAAAATTGTTTTGCAGATGTTAAGATACTTGTAGCTAATAGTCATAGCGTAATTCATATAAAGATTGTTGATGAAGGCAATACAAGTCTGAGTTAGTGGCATTATATTGAGAGTAAATTTCTCTAAAAGCAAATTACTTACTTCATTGATACATATAAGATAGTTCTTTATGTTTTATTTAAATTAAATATGGTTTTTTTTCTAACAAAAAATATTTGAAACTCGTATAGCTATATAGATCGATTTTTACATTTTATGTTTACCAGCGAGAACATCTCGTAATTAAATAGTATCATGAGATAATCGTAAACGTTTTTCAATGTATAGAAAGATGAATACCCCATATTGATAAATGAGTATAAGGTAAACAATTTTTTATGAATTTATTTATTTGATAGGATGGAATGTCGATTCATATTAAATAATCGTTCAGAATATGATATGCCGAAGAGTATTTTATGCGGTCAACTTCAGCAACAGCTGAAGTACTACAAATTTCGACGCGTTCAGACAAAGGCTAGCAGATCGCTGTTTTACTTATTCTTCAGAAAAGAAGAAGAAACGTATTACGCATTGTAAACAGGAAAATTAATTAAAAATATATCTCTGATACGTTATCGTCATCGGAATATGATTCCTGCACATTTGTGTCGTTCTGATGAGATTTTATCAACTGAAGCACAGTATCAACCAGTATCTTCGCAACGTACATGTATTAATGTCTTCTTTTAATATTACATTCATCCATTACGGGTTGTTTTGTTTAGCGTATGAAAAAAGTTCAATATTGAGTTTAGTACACTCAGCAATTTTAGAAGTTGAGAATTAGGTGGTAAAGAAAATCAATCTGGTCGTATTCGTGTAATTCTTAACGAAGGATCAACAGCTGGTGTTTTAGAACCAGTGAACGGATGTACACGACTGTTAATGACTGAAGAAGGTAATGTGGTTCTTACACGCGTAGGAGTATTTTTGTTGACTGCTACGCGAATTCGAGAATATACCGTTTTGGAAGATTGTCGAGCTCAACTCATAAATTTGTATGATCATCCAGAGTATTATATAAGAATATTGAAAAATTCTATGGTGGAAGTTACTAATGCAAAATTAAATATATTAATAAGTTTTGAGATTTTGCTATGAATTCAATTTTTTTGTTAAGGCTGGTGTAACTGGAGAATGGATCAAACGACTTATCGCACGACGGGCTTAGGATACACTTGGTGATGCCTTGAATGGAGTAAATTGTCCACAATGGCATTCATATTGGTGGCCAACGCTTGAACAATTTGCAATAATTTTGAGCTTTTTTGAACTGATTCATATGTATTTCGATGAAGATGCCAACATTCAAATGATTCAATGGTGTAACTACAATTTGTCTTTACTATTAGGTGAGGTAAACAATAAATACAGGAAAAGCTTTTAAATTCAAATAAAAATGTCCGTAAATTATTCATTCTGTATAAAAATAAAGAATGAAATAGTTTTTCATATATATTGATGCAGAAGTTGCAATACAAGATGTTTTCAGCTATCTAAATTTTTATTATAGAGTTTACACATTTATGTTGCTCGTTTGTTTTACGTATTTCGTCAGATAACATAACTAAATTTTAATATTACCTTAGTATTCTCGAAAAAGAGTTAATTTTTAGGATCATTTCAGAAAAATCAAGAAATATTTCTCAAATTATTCTGAAAATATCTTAGTTTTCTGTTCGATCAACTATACTTCACTGCATGAAATAGTTTCTGTAGATAGCAGCATATACTTATAAACAAGAGTATATTGAGTATAGTTATGTGAAAAAGCAATTAGATTGCAGCTAGTCAGACAAAAGATGTAACGAATTCAGATCTATTAGTAACAAACACACGAAAACGTTTATTTAGACTTTTTAGTCAAATGTCCTGGACATGGAGCTAATCATATATCGACTTTAAATAAATCAATTAATTAATTAGTGTGTTGAACAGACTATCTTTTACCAGCCTAGAATGATTTTTGGAAGAAAAAACCAGTTCCAGATAGAACCATATTATTTTAGAAGGTACTTGATGAGATTCTTAAGCAAGTTTAAAATGGATCATAGTTGGGTTTGACTCACCCTCATTCTCAAGATTTTGAACTTATCTGTTGCTAAACCTTTACAAATTTAGGAGTATCTCTGTTGCCAGCAACAGTAATGATGTTTGTTTAGTAATTCACATCTATGTAGTAAATGTATTTAATACACAGCAGAAGTTTTTATTGGAGAGAAGAAAAAAAATGAGAGGAAGCAGAAGTTAATGATGTCAATAAGGCAATAACGTCAGTATTATCTCAACTACCAAACCAGATTATTTAAATATAATAATATCTTTAATTAGTTCATATTTCAACCAACATATAAAGTACATACATCATTTGCCGATAATTCTCGACTGTAAATTCTGAAATCATCCACGCCACCTACATAATGATTGCTGATATTTATTCCACCTGTCAAGCATGTTGCTGAAAAACTATTTGCTAATGTAACATAATTTGGCGTTATACTACTAGCCACAAATGTTACTGCCGATGGTTCAGAAGCAACTAGAATATTATCAATATAAAGACGAAGACCGTTCGTTGAGCTCCATGTTTGTACAATATGAGTCCAATATGGTGATGAGAGCGGAATAACAGTCGGTGCTATGATAGATACTATTGCTGTACCATCATATATTTGCGCAACTAGTGTACCATTTGGAGCAAAGCCTATGAATGAAAGGCACCATGATCCAGCACCAGTCGATGACTTTGAGATATGAACGAGTGTACCTGATCGAGATATAGGTTGAATCCAGAGCGATATCGAAAATGGTTGGTCATTGATACTAAATTGAGTAAAGCCCGATGCTTGAAAGTAAGAATTCGTACCATTGAATCGAATGGCTTGAAGAGTGTGACCAACAGGTAAAACGGAATATGAATAAGCATTTGCTGATACCGAATTAGGTCCAAAATCGACTAACGTATTTGTACTATCAAATGGAAAACGACAAGCAAGTGTGGCATCTTCAAGTATTTCACATGCACTTTTGACTCGATTACTAATCTTTAATGTATCTATGTAGCCCTATAAAAAGAAAATAGAGCCTTTGAAATTATTCGGTTGCAACTTTCGACAATTCACTCTTTCTCCTTTAATTAATTACTTCAAATTTCGTTTAGATTATACAGATTGAGTTCAACTGTAGCCATAATTCTTGGGTATGTGTATTAGAGATCCAAACAGGCAGACCACTTGGCCTGTCCTTTTTTCACATGATAAAATTTTATCTCATAAATTGAAAACTTTTCTGCGAATCAGATGTATACTGTAAAAAAAGTGTCATACTAAACCATTTCTCAGTAGTATCTTCAGTACGTTTTTAAAGTTGTAGCAGTAGTATTTTAGCGTGAAAAGACTGAAGTTCATATTTTATTTCCAATAGTTACTAATAACTTATCATCTTATTCACAACTAATTGAGCAATTTATAATATTATCAATTGAAAATTTAATCTGTCTGTACTGAATCAAAGGTTGTAACGCTATACGAGGATAAAACTTAAAGTGATTCTCTGTTACTGGGTTATAAAGTTAAAGCAGAGATGGGAAACTTCATAGGAAATCAACAACCGTGTAATATGCACGAGATCCCGCTGGCAATTACTATTGCGAATCTTTTTTTCTGATTAGTAACAGAGTTCTTTCAATATTGCAGAAGATGAAACTATTCTCCGAAAACATCGAAAAAGATGTATAAAACTGGTCTGTCAGTCAGATGAAATTTTGACAAAAAATGTATGAAAATATGGTTAAGATTTAAGAGAAATCCATACTATTCATATGATTGAATAGGCGATTTTCTCTGTTCATTGTACTCGCCTGAGAAATCAGTAGACAGACCTGTACAGACGCATCTTGTTTGGACCTCAGACGTGTATTCTATTTATATGAAACCCGTCTTAATTTTTCTAGCCTCTAAATTAAAGTACGTTCGTTTGAAAACATCAAAATACCTGGAAATAGTCGTCGCCTGGTACACCTTCGAGATTCGGAACCAAACCAATAGTAACGCTGCCCGTGGAGAATAAGAGATTTGATGATACGGTTTGACTACATTCCAGTACTCCATTGAGATAAATCCATTGTGTCATCGTACTTATATCGAAAACGAATGTAACATAGATCCAATTATTAGGAGATATTATTGTAGCCCCATCACAATCATCATAATAGAATCCAAAATGAAGGTGAGAGCCTGATCCAGAATCGCGAAAGATCAAATGGAGACATTCGTTGGGCAATAGGGCAGGACACAAACCAAGAATACTATGATCCGCATAATAAGGAAATCCTGTCGGATAGAGCCAAACATCAATTGTAAAACTCGTGCTTGCCAGAGGAATGTATGAAGTGACCAATGATTGACTTTGATTCGCATTGAAAGAGAGTGCTTGGTTCAAATAGCCATTACTTACAAAAGTAGGACTATTCGCAGGTGTGGCATTATATGTAAAAGTACTGTCGATAAATGTCCCATCGAATGGCCATAAAGCCAAAACATTCGCTGAAGAAATCCATGATTGATTGAGACAAGTAAAGTTACATACGTATGGAGTAGTCGATGTAGCTAAAGAAAGAAGTATAGATGATAGCAAAAAAAGGAACAGTAAAAAATGATGGATCGTACTCGTAGTAGTCGAGGTAGAAGTAGTGTCTGTAGTGGTGGTGGTGGTTGTAGTGGTTGTGGTGTCTGTAGTAGTTGTGCTACTTGTAGCTGAAGAGAAGAATAAGGTAAATATCTAATCCGATTTTGAAGATCTGAGTAAGAGTGTGTAAGGGTGGATGTTCTTTTCATCTTTATCTTCACCCTCACGATCGCGCGTGACCGTGATCACTTTGCAAATCTGTTTTCGAATTCTTTTTGGAAAGATGAAGGTTTCTTTATCTTTGCATTGGAATTTCGGTTACACAACTCAGAGAAAGAACAATTATTAAATTTGATGGAACATACTCGATGTACTTGTGCTTGTTGTCGTTGTAGTCGCAGTCGTTGTTGTTGTGCTTGTAGCTTTAAAATAGATGACAAATTATCTTAAGGATGGGTGAAGGTGTGAGTTTAGGTGTTAATTACAAATAAATATAATATCTACAATCACCCACACCAGCACCCCGGAACCAGAGGGATCTCACTAGAAAAATAGCTATTTCCTTAAGATTTCTACTATCGGAATTATCGACCTGGTGCTCTTAGTCAAATGCTCTAGGTTTCGAGTACATAAGTAGCTTTTTACTTATTACCAGTGCTAGTAGTTCCTGCTTTGTTTGCCAATAAAGTGATAAGTCCATATATACCAGCTGCCAGGAGTGCCAATATCAATGCAGTAAGAATAGGACACATAATAAACCAGAATGCACCACACCTCCTTTTCCGTTTTACAGAACGTTTTGTCTTTCCCCTAAAAAACAATGTACGACGTATATTAAGAAAAATAGATAAGAGGTGGGAGGCAAGACTTCCGTAATCCGACGTACGACACACTGCACTTTTCATACTTCGAAAGTTCGACCACATCCTCAGTACTCACTTGTCCAAGTTCTGGACTGATGAGTCCTTTGGTTTTACACTCGATGGCCTTGTTATCGAAGAGCGATTGTCTGCGGGATGTGTTAATTTTTCGCATGGACTGACGCTCGGAGACAAATGATGAGTCTTGCCCTTTGGTTCCGCGTGCGGTGGTATTGTTATCGAAGAGCGATTGTCCGTGGGAAGTACTAATTTTTCGCATTGACTGACGTTTGAAGATAAACGATGATTCGTGTCTTTTGATTTCCTAGACTTATGCTTTACCTATAAAAAAAAACAGTTGAGATTTTCCTTTATTCACTCATTGGAAGATAAACTCGATAAAACGTCGTTCATATTATCAAATTGATAACTACCTGGCGTTTCCTATTATGTACGACTGATATTTCACTTGAGACAGTACGGATAATTTTAACCATGTCTTTTTTATATTTGCTAAAATTGTATGTACTTTTTTAAGAGAAAATATATGAAATGAAGTCGAATCTTTCTTTCTCTCTCTGATGGTAGATTTATATTATACGAATGAGTGAAAAAATAATATTCATTCGATATAAATGCTAATAAAGAAGCCCTGCCAACAATGAAGAAATTGATTACGAAGATTTGTTTGCTACATGGAGAAATAATGAAAAAACAATCAACACTACTATTGAAAATAATGAAAAAAATCATAATTAATCAAAATATTTCTTTATTCATTTATGTTGGTCGAGTGAATTGACGAAATAAACAGAATCCTTACCGTGAACAGATTCTGATTTGTCAAATTGCATGCGAGAAATAAACAGAGCATGAATTGAAAGAAAGACAAAATCAATCAAAACAGACTGAGATTTTATTACAAAATGAAGTAGAAGAAACACCAAGGAGATGTATTTATTTTTAATCTTAATAATCTTACAATGGAACATTTTGCACTGATGATCAGCTTTCTTGACCATAAACTTCCGGTTAGTTTATCATTATTATGTATTACATGAAGCGCAAAATAATATTAAAAAATACTAAGAAAAAGCGTGAAAAAAAGACGTTACTGGAAAATAGGGAAAGTCATATTTTGGCTGACATGTGACGAATCTACGACGCAAACTAATCAAATATGACAAACAAAAAACAGGATATCTTGATTTACTACAGACAGATATATTGTTTTGAAATCTGTTCAAGAGGCGACAAATATTTATTTTCTCTTTTCAATGAATAATCTTATCAAATATTTATATATGATATACTTTTAATTACTTATTGATACCAACAATGACTTTCTTAATCGTCTTTATTGATAATGCATGCATTAAGAAGTATTATAATTCTTATCTTCAATAACAATAATAATAGACTATTTAAATGAAATCTCTGTCGCTATTTTATATTATTATTATTAAACTCCATTTATCGTATCATGGCCTCTTCAAATGTCGTTTCACCTTATTCAGAATCATCAAATTTGGTTGCAGAAGAACCAAAGCCTTTAAACGAACGAGTAGAGTACATGCATTCAAACCAACTACCTATTAGTGGTCATCCGAATAACAAGATCGATCGAACAAGTCCTCGAATTTATGATTGGTTACCATGGTCAATAACTAATATATGCTTTGGTGGAATACTTATTGGCGTGATTCCATTGCCGTTTAGTCTTCTCTGTCGAGATTACAAAACAAAAAATAATGCAAGTAGTGCAAGAACAATGAGTAAGTTGGCTCTTATTTTCAATATTCTCGCTACATTATTTGAAATTGCTTTCTGGATTACATTTATTGTTCTAGCCGTTAATGGTGAATTAGTTTTCAGTACGTATTGTCGTTACTAAAACATTGTTTCTCTTTTCCATATTTGTTTTTCAAATAAAACCAATAGATGGTATGTTGAATTATGAGATTGTAAGATCGCGATATAAAATATTCAGGTATAAAAATATCGTATCTGATATGAGTATTCATTTTTTGAAAGTAACTAATCCACATTTGTTGGAAAAAAAATTAAATTATATAGAGATACATGACATTTTCGTTATTTATTTATGGAGAGGCTTGTGTGTGTGTTCTTTTAATCATCTTTACACACACCCACACCCTCAAGATCGTAGATATCAAATAGTTTATGAAGAATTTCAAATAAAAAGATTAAACAATATTTCTTGTTTAAATCTTGAAGATATTTTTTATTATCACAAGTAGGAAGAACTATTTCAAACTCATTTACAACAGATACATTATTTTTTCAATAATAAAACCAAAACAAGTATAATAATGGCAAGAATAATGAGCAAAACTGTAACTAAAGTAATTATTTTACACCGAGCCGAACTCTGTAAATAGAAAAATAAATATATATATATTATATATGCCTGACATGTAAATGAAAATTTTAAAGTAATATGATAAATTATAGCTTTTGTTAAATGTTGATCAATAGAGTTTAGAAAAATGCAGCGCTGTTAGAGTTATTTCATATATTCACCATTATTCAGTTAATTAAGCATAATGAAATCAATTCCTTAATTATTAAAATTTCTTGACAGATCATAAATAAAGTTAGCATTTAGAAGCAATAAATATTAAGAAATATAATACCTGATATTCGCGAGCCCTTCCAACATCATCAGCGGCTTGATGCGTTTGCTTCTCGGCTTCTAGAACATGATCTTCAATGGTCTCTTAAAAAATATTATTTGATTACAACAATTCTGTTTTTCTTATATATAATTTCGAAAAACTTACCAATAATAACACCGTGTTCGCTAACAAGTTGAGCCATGTCCTTGATCAATTCACTGACTTCAACCATCAGTGTCTAAATAGAAAAATAAGAAGATTATCTATAACTCTTCCCATGAAAATTTATCAGCTAGAATTTTAAAAAGGATAAATACTACGTGTGATGCGACCTTCAGATCAGTTTTCCGATACAAAAAGTCATACATATATTAAAGTAACATAATATTTCATTTTTTTAATTACTGAATGGAATTTAATTTGATAAGATTCAATAAATATCGAATGAAATCTATCGGATAGTATATGAGTGCAATGTTTTACTTATAGATACTAATAATTGAAAAGATGAATTTAATATTTGCGGAATGGCTATCAATTTCAGATGATAGAAAGCTTCCTTAAGAGTATTAGAACAGTAATTTTTAGATCGAACTGGTACTATGAGCTATTTATTAGAGTATGTATATATAAATATTTTATCTCATTCAAGACATGACGAGTCTTTAAAAGTCTTAACCGTTAGTCGATAAAATTTCAAATCATTTTTAATATTATGAAATATTTTAATCATGTACCTCAAGATCGCCTATTTGTTCGGCACGTTGTGTTAATGCTTTCATTTCAGTTTGTTGTTGATGTTGATAAGATATCGGTGTTGAAATGAAATCATTAGCAAATAATGGATTCGATATACCTTGTTGGTGAAATGGAATTGTATTTGAACGATTAAAACTTTCTTTTTCTTTTCGTAAAGCAATATTTTGTACTTCACGAAAACGTTCTAATGTTGTTATATATTGTTTTGGTAAACTTTCAGTTAAAGTTTTTAGACGTTTCTAAAAGTAATAACCTCAAATTCGATATGTAAATATCATTATATTTCACCTGATCAACATTTGTTAATACGCGCATATTCTTCAATTGTTGAAGTGCATCATTTGTATGTTGTATTAAAACTGTTCCCTAGTGAAAGAACTCATACCGGAGTACTCAAAAAGTACTCATGCTAGAAAATGTCACGAGAACTCATGAGTACTTATGATATTTACGTACTCGTATGTTCTACTCGTTGTGAACGTTAAGTGTTCGAGTACTACTAGCGAGTACTTATGTAAAACTGCTGAGTATTACAGTACTATAAGGATCTACTCGTTTCTAATTTTGTGAGTACTCTATTGGTACATTTCATATACGACAATATTTGTATTAGTTTTTAATTTATTGCTATAATCTGGTTTTTGATCATGTAACAGTAACAAGGTTAACATAAAAGAGAACATAAGTAATAGAAACAAGATAAAATATGATAGAATATTCAATATAAAGAACGAAGAGAAGAGAGTAAAAAAAATAAAACGATACATAAAAAAAATGTTCTCTAATTATATAAAAGATTGAATCATTACCACTTCCATATAACTAGTTTGTCTAATACAATCACACCGAAACATACAAAACTATACAAGAGTTTTAGTGTTCATTCACACGATTGAGTTGGTTCTGATGATACTGCTGTCGTTATTTCTTTTTCAACAATATTCGTTGACGTTGTTGTGCCTTGTTCGGTGGGGATCGTTGGTTTGTGTGCCAATTGTGATGATGAAGTTGTTGATGTTGATAATAATTCTGTATGTATCTTTTTTTTTTTGTTACTTTCTTCGTCGATGTGCTGACGTGAAAGTGAACCAACAACCTCATCCCACACAACCTTTAAATTATCATCAAGAATCATACATTTCATTTGTATAAATTCTAAAACGACAAATTGTAATGAACTGTAGTAGAAAACTTTAAAAGTTGTATACTGACCTTTAAATAAGTTTTCATGTTTTGTTAAATATATTTTATCATTAATATGACCACCTTTTTTTATCAACTCTCTCATTACCATTGTTGGACGTGTTGGTGTAGCTTTAATTTGATTAGGATTTACACCAGTGATTTCCTAGAATTGCAATAGAGATCGCAAAAGGGTATATAAAAAAAAAGAAAAAAACTTACTTCGATTTTTGTATAAGTTTCATTAGTAAATTCAGCTTGATTTGTTTGATTTGTTAATGTCTAATTAATGAAAAAATAAACTTTTTATATGAAACGGAAGTGTCTATTAAATTTTGCTTACAACTGGTGCATTTGATCGAAATTTCTTGAATACTGGTATCATTTTTTCCAACTTATTGACCCTTTTGGTTAATTGTTGAACTACTTCATCAAGCTGTTTACAACCACTACACGATTCTTCACCTTAAAATAGATATATATATCAAAACATTTTTACTATAGGAAGATATTTAATTACCCTTGCTAACTGGTACAACAGCTTGCTTTTTTCTTCGTTTATAACGAGGTTTTTTCAATAATGATCGCAGTTCATTACTTTTTTTCATAACATACAAATGTTTGTCTAATTAATGAATCAAAAAACCTTCATCTCAATTTAATACAACAAGAAATCACTCACCGCTTTCTTCATCTGTTACTATGTCACTCCCACTCAATGAACTTTCATCAAGATTATCTTCATGCTTTCTTTTTGTTCCCGTTTTTGGTGAATAAACACGATCAAAGTTTAATTCACGAGCACTTAATGGAGTTCCTGAATGAATATCATAACATACATAATTAAATTAAAATGATACTTAAATTAATCAAGGCCATATGACATACTTGTTGTTGTAAAAGTTGTACTTTCAAAACAATCATCATTCGCTGTTGTTGTTTGATCATAAACTTTTGATGAATTTATTTCAATTTGCGATTTTGTTTGTTCACTTGCTGTAACTTGCTTCCTATTTTCTTTACTTGTTTGATACATAACGGATGGTGAATAGCGATCGTCGCTATCATTTTGATTTTCATTATTCTCTTGTTCATCAGGAACAAGATCAACTTCTTCGCTACCAGCTGATGCAGCGTATCGTGATGCACGCTCTTTTAATATTTCTTTTGGACCTCAAGGTAAAAAGGAAAATTTATAAGCATAAAAAATAAATATTTGATAAAAAACTTACCATTACTAATAATTCTTAAATTTTTTCTTGATCCAAATGTTTTAATACTACCATTTTGTTTATCCAGAGGATCAACATTGATACTTACAGCTGGTACAATACTATGTTTGTTCAATTGTGGAAACGAAACAAGTACATAATCTTGTTCGTCATAACGTTTATTAATTCCAGCTGTCGATCTTCGCATACGATTATAACCTGTTGATAACATTTCCATATCTAAATACAAGAAAAAATAAAACATGTAAAGTATTTTCTTTATAAAATATAAAGTGCATAAAAAATATAAAGTATTTTCTTTATTATTTTTTCTTTTTAAGAACATATAAAAAAAACCTAGTCAATAATAAAGAATTAAACAAAAAAATGAATTATTAATCATGTTCCCATTCACAAACAACATCAGTGTAAGCTAATATATCATTAATCCATTTCATATTAATAATTTTATTTGATATATAAGATACAGGTATAATTTTGTACGAAAACCGTTTATGATTGTAAAAGCCATAATAATATTTTAATCTGTCGGTAATTATTGGAGGTAATGATATTGTAGATAATGCATCTGAAATACTAAAGTTCATACAAGCATATTTTTTAATAAATGCATAATAGTGACCAGAAGAATGAAAATAAAATAAAACTTCACCGAGACATGTATGTCTATTCATTGGACACGTTTTGGTTAGTATTGATACTAAATAACTAATTGCATTACCACTTCTTGTATAAGCACGTGAGTGAAATACTTTTAAACCACGACTGTAACGAGAATAAAATCTTGATCTTGATAAATCAATGTTTTTTGTGCTTGAGCATGTTATTAATTTTTGTTGATAATTTTGAATAAAGCATTTATCCATAAAATTTTCATCGAATTTTTCAACATAGAATATATCATTAAGTTTAAGTGAATTATCTGAAGCTAAAGCACGATCGACGCTATACCAAGTAATAAATTGTTTTAATATGTATTTTTTACCTAAACACCATTTTAATGCATGACCAATATAAGATTCACGAGCAAAACATGATGTGTATACTAATGCACCATGTTTAACAACTTGGTCTTTCAAATGTAAATGTAAGTGAAGTGTACATAGCTGAGATTTTTCTCCATAATAATCTTTCATATGTTCATAGTAATAGTTGAACATATTTTCAATTTCATCTAATTGTGAAGTATCTTCATAAAAATATAAAGCACGTACATATATAAAGTAATGTAGAAAATGTGAAGCAAGTTTATCAGGCAGAAATAAGGCCACAAAAATTGGTGATACATATAATAAGAAATCTCTAGAAATAAAAATAATTTTAAATAATACACAGAATATATATAAAACTATGAAGAAGTTCTTGTTATAAGTTTAATCCTAAAACTAATTGTATATGTAAGAAATTAACTATACAAATGCTTTACTCATTCAGTTGAACTTAAAACATGTATCTTTAATTTTAAGATTAAACTAAAGCTAAAGTATTTTATTTAATTGCTTTAGTTAACTGTCCTAACCTGAACATCTTTGTTTTCCATTGAGAATATTGTACAAGAGGAATAAATTGATATTTAAAAGAATGAGGCAATACGACCGATATAATATAATTTGAACTTTGATCAAAAACTCCAGGTAATAAAATTCTCTCCCAATATGTTATCAATGTCTTAAAATGACCAGAACATACAAGATGCATATAGTCTTTAGCTATCTGATCAGGAAAGATCAATATTTGTGTTAATGGTGTTGGTCCCTTGATTCCTATTGATGCAGCTGCATTCGTTTTTAGCATCGATAAAGATGTGTAATGATAATCAGTTTTTGGTGCTGCAGGTGTTTTAGAATAAGGATAAAAGACCTGACGATCAATAGCTATACCACGAATATCGCAATCTGGGCATGCATTATACCCGTTAAATTGAATAATGTTACAATTTTGTGCAAGAGCTGGTAAGTCAAATGTAGCTAATTGCACTCGAATAACACATTTAAACTTTTCACCTGTATCCGCATGAATCGTAATACCGGTTTGTAGTAAATCATGTATTTGTTCAACTATTCTAGACCATAATAAATCTCGATTTGGGTGAGTACCACCCAACCAGGAACCGAAAATCATAGTTGAATCGGCATAATCTCGTACAGGTGGAGAAATTTCTATAAAAGTACATTGCACCGGCCACAAAGATTTACCGCCGACTTTTGTGACCGGTGCTCCGTCCGTATGCAATACTAAAGTAAGCTTGCTGGACTTATTTGATGGCAACTTTGTATAGATCTATTAAATATAATTAAACTTAAGTTCACTCTATCGCTAATGTAAGAAAGTAAATTTAAATATTATTTCCTAATTATTTTCTATCTTAATGAAAAGTGAATTATATTTTATACTAGCTGATGATATATCTAATTCTTTCCTATGATGTAACATGAATCAAGAAATATTGGAAGTTTTCTATTAAATTAAAAAATTAAGTTTGTCTAGATAGAATTTTTTTTTGATTATGAAATGATCCTGAGCTTTTGTTTAAAAACAATCGGTTTTTATATCAGAAAAATCTCACTATCAATTAATAAGCTATTCAAAACTCATCAAAACTAATATTGTGAGATGGTGAAGAAAAAAAAGTACTAACCTTTCCATGCACTACATCACCAGGTAATATAAGTTTTGATTCATTCTGATACTCTTGAATTAAATGAATGTATCTTTTTGCAGTTGATAGAATTTCTTTTTTAATATCACATATAACCAATTCACTAACGTTTCTAAATGGACGGCTTTGATTATGCATCGAACACCCATTAGAACATGATGTTTGCTGAGGTGATGCAAGATGATGAAAGCAACCACGGCAGTAATATGTAACATTGTTGGAGCAATCAATATCTATAATAATAAAGAGAAAAGAAATAATATAAAAAAATAAGCGAATAAGTGAGAAGAAAGATACTTAAAAAATAATGAATATATATACTTACCAACAATTTTCAGAAGACTAGGAACAGTGCGTGGCAGCTTATTCTCTGTTGGTAGTAATAAACGTAATCCATTCAACAAACGCTGGATTTGTTGTTTGTTCAAATTCAAATCTCGAGAAAGTTTAATAATTTCCATACATGCATTATAAATTGATAAGTTGCAAGATGAGTATAATTTTTGTTCACGATTAATATTAGATAGATTGATAAGCTCACGTATAATATCATCATCATCATCACCATCATTATAATTATCATCATCATCATCATCATTATAATTATCATTATCATCATTTATTTCACCTTCACTTTCACTAGAACTTTCTAGTATTATATTTTGTGTATTGGAATAATTGTCATCATCAAACTGATAATCTTCATTATTTGTAGATGTACAAAAATCTTCAACTATCATTTGTATGTCAGATGTTTCTTGAACAGCATTGCTATGGAAATAATCAGCTTCTAAATCGTTCAACTTTGAATCAAATTCAATAGCTGCTGCTCTTTGTCGACGTTCTCGTTGTCTTTCAGTTGCAGTTTTTCGATAAAATTGTTTATTTGACATCTAAAAACAAATCAAAGATTAGATGAAAGCATTAAACACGTGATTATAAGCAAACAATACTGGCGAGAATGATAATTGAGAAAAAAAAGAATGACGTTATTTCGATATAAGACTATTGTCTATCTCAACAAATATTGCTATTGGATATCTTCTATACACATAAACACAAGTCACGTTGCTTTTTCTTTTCTTTTAATTAACGAATCGTGACGAATAATTTTATTGAACAAAACGGTTTTTTCGAAAAAATATCTAAGCACATGGAAAACAACTTCAATTTATTCTATAGAATACAAACGTTTATTTAAAGAAAAAAAAGAAACACATGAAAATTAACATCCAATTGTATATTTTCTTTTCTCTCCTGAAAACAATATAGTCGTTGTGTTGTCTGATAATATTGAACAAAAAGGAACAGATAAAATACGTTTTCATATCTAATTATATTGTGCAAAATTTACTTTCATATTATTTTATATTTTTATATTTCATATTTGAAAATGCATAACTGTCTTATTCAGTTATTTTCCAAAAAAATATATGAGTACTCGAGTGAGTACTCATACCACTACTTGCGAGTAAAGTTAAACCAGTAACAACTGAATCAGTACGACTATGAGTACTCAAGCAGTAAGAATACTCGTGAATTTTCACGAGTACTCATTTGAGTAATCTGAGTACTCATGCTGGCAAGTCGTACTCGCTTGATGAGTAGTTTCACTAGGGCGGATATTCTACTAAAAACACGTCGCTTACAAAGTTACCGCGCCAGGGTATCGTGCAACCATCTCGTTACCCCAAACAGAAGTATATGTGAAAAAACTGAGGAATATGAGTTGATTTGGTGTAACCACCTCGTTACCCCAAATGAAGTATATGTGAAAAGCTGAGGAATATGAGTTGATTTGGTGTAACCACCTCGTTACCCCAAACAGAAGTATATGTGGAAAAACTGAGGAATATGAGTTGATTTCGTGTAACCACCTCGTTACCCCAAATGAAGTATATGTGAAAAGCTGAGGAATATGAGTTGATTTGGTGTAACCATCTCGTTACCCCAAATCCACTCGTATTCCTCAACTTCTATAATGAATGTATTTTTAGTGGGGTAATGAAGTCATTACTCCTTGGTGTAATGTGTGGAGTGAATGTTAATTTACTTTCGTTGTCCTCATGTTAGGATATCCTGCCGTCTGACTGTCGATACCCGGGGTAATGGTATTATGACATCTATGGAAGAATGTGTGTTCTGAGGAGAGGCGAAGTAATATGGATGTTATCTGAAGCTACTGTAGGATGTCTTGAATAGAAAAATAGCATATTCTTTTGTTCTCACCGTAAATAAATA